AGCAGCCCCGCTGCATTTGCACTGAAATTCAGCAGACTTTAGCTCGTTGGCAGATCTACAGTGACCTTATCCTTGCGAGACCAAACCGCAGACCATGCTTCCCAAATTGTCTCAGTTCTACGAGACATCGTGGTTCTTATATAACAAAAGTACAAGACACCGGGCGAGCGGTGAAAAGCAGCAACAAATGTTGAACTGAAGACACCTACAGTTTTTATACAGAACATTGTACGACAAGAAACCCCCTCTATAAAAACATTGTGGCCGCTACATAGGATATGTATCATGACAGTCTCGAGAAAAAAGGAGCGATGGTGCGGTGTGGTTCCACAAGGTCGTACATTTCAAATCAATACCTTCACGATGCCATTAGTAGTCTAAAATGCGGTTAAGCTGATTGCGATCTAGAACCAAAATAGTTTAGGCCGGGAACTCCTGAGCATACGTGGAAAAAGTGACTAGACGTGTACTTGAAGCGCATCAAGATTTCAGAACTATGGAAACTCTTGCTCGTCAATGTGCTTTCAACTTTGTGTAACAAGTGTAAAGGCGACAAAGATTTAAGCCCAGCTCGTATGCTTAGGTGTCCTTGGTCAGCATTCCCAGACTCAAAAGAGTGTTGGAAATTTAATCAAAAGGTTTTTGGCCGTCATACGATACGCTTTAGTTATACTGGACTTAAAGTCTTAGGAGATAGCTTGAGAAAATGGCTAATCATGCTGTCAGCAATATCGTCACCGATGAAGATACAAGCAGGCCAATCCTGTAAAAGTATTATACCAACATGGTAGATGTTTCGAATGCAGTCTCGCTTTACAGCCAAAAATGATTTAATTTGTTTAAGGTGAATGACACCAGATGACATGTCTGCAGTGAGTCATTTACATACCGGTGGTTAAACAAACTGTTTCAGCGGCGTGGTGAGAATCCCCGCAAACGCTTTTGAGTGTAGCGATTACACTAATGGAAACACATCGTCTCATTAATTGAGATTAACTCGAAAAATCCAGCTCATGCTGATACAGGCGTCACGCCTTTTCAGAACTGTTCGGTAATTCAAATACCCGCATCTCCCTGGCGCTCAGATTCGTTTTGGTGTCAATACTTATCAACTTTCTGATAGCATACAAACTTAACTTTGATGTAACTTAATGACTTTAATTTCGAAGAGATTGAACATAATGAGTAAAGTGCGCGACTTGGTGGATGGGAGCTATTACATGCACCTAATATGACGATTCTCATGGTGGAAAACTAATATGAGCGTCACGCAGAGGAGTAGGAATATGCACGAGAGTGGTAGTCCTTCAAACAAAGCACACAAGCTTGTGCGGCGAGAAAGCGATTCTCGAAGTGGGGGGAAGGACCGTTTTAACTTGTAGAGAAGAAGAATAACTTATGACCATAAAGATAAAATTGCATCTAGATTAAAATGAGTTATGTTTTTTAGCTATATGTAAAATACCCCAAGAGCTCCTAGAGCTTTTAATTATAGAATCTTGAGTTCTTGACTTATAAATCAAGGGTGTACTAAGGTTAAATCTCAGCTTTAGCTGATGTAAGATTTTGGATGTACGGAGCTTGAACGTCAAAATGCTTGAACTATAATTTTCGCTGAATATCTAGTTGAAAGGGCTGGTTTACGTCAACCACTTTGAACACAGAGACACGTCGGCCTAGTCAACAGTACATATCTCCAAGTGAGAACCAACCTTCTGTATCTCACAGAATATTTGCGACGTCATATAAGACGTCATGTGTGCATTTGGGAACACCAGACTGCAATCTTCTTTTATAAATACTCACAATGCATACAGAAGGAAAATATATGTACCTTCATGTAATGGCTAGTGTAACCCATTACATCAACTTCTATAAGGTCAGAAATACTTTGATACCTTGCAGACCATTTGGGGCAACTTACTTTTCGTTTAACAATGAAGCGATCGAGTTTACAAACCAACATTGAAGAGCGTTCAAGTCTTTAACGGCAAAGAACGGTTACAGAACCCTTTGACATTTCCATTGTCAACCAAAATGGAGACAAGAGTCCGACAACGAGCGTTTTATTGTGAGCGCTGGATCAACAATCGCGATGATCCGACCCAGTCCATCGCTGCTAAAATTGACTCCTGGTAGGCATTTGTTCGCCTTGAGAACGAGAACAAGTTGGAGCGTCTGATTCGCCGAGTTGGCACTAGTAGGAATCCCAGTCACGACCGAGCACAACCAAGCTCTGGTCGTCGTAGTGTCGACTACAAGCTATTCTCGTAGCTGCGAACCACGTCAGAGGAATCAGACTCTAGGCCTGACGAGGTCCCCGTATGTCCAGGTCCGATGAATAGCCGCGCCAACAAACTCTGTTGTAGCGTTTATGGTTCAACTGATTCTTTCCGCGATGACACTATAATTGATCCTCGCGATCTACAGTCGTCTCAACTACTCAAAGACGCTCTCCATTAGAGTCTAATAGCAGGGGTGGGGCTGAACTTGAGAAACGATTGAGCCACTCCGGAAGTAGAAAAACGCTCATTGCGGGGGGATTGAGGTATTGCGACAGCGCTGCTCGACGCTGAAGATTGCAGCAATACCCTTTATAACCTTGTTGCAAAGCAAAACTCATACCTTGACGTTATGACCGATGGATCTGCCCAATCCTTAGCATTGGAGTCCCGTTTTTAACTACGGTATCAGCAGGTACATGATGAATTAGCTCGACTCCGGAAGGACGAGAAGTCTTGTGAATTGGCGAATGAACACCTGTTGTTATTTGTTGAAGAGGCAGGCTCTCGGGTATACCTAGTGAGTACCATTCTCGCCTACAAGCGTTGAGATAAGTAAAGAAGCAATTCTTTGATGTTTAACGCTTATACGCCGAGAAGAATCTCCAGGGTGATGAGTTGGTTGCTCTTCGTGGATGGATGGAAGAACTTCATGATCGGTAGCAAAGGTATAGTAATATCGGCAGATCCACTCGAATGATACGACTTTAGCCTACCCACGTAATATGTAGGATGTAGGCGCATGCGTATAGAGATGGCTAATGTGTACGCACCACCACTGCATTTCGACACCCTAACTTGTCCAATGAACATTGGCAAAGACTTTCTGCTTCCCAAATTGAACATTGTATGTTCGGCTAGATTTGCCATGCTGGTCGGTAGTACTAGATCATTGACCTTATTATTCTTCTCAATATTCCATCCGCTCTTATCTGCTTGTCTTTTTTTGCAGATCCTGAGCTCTCTCAATTGCGTCTCAACGAAATCACACAATGGCTTGTCTCTTCATTGACGTACTGTACCTCACGACCTGTCATGTCGTAAAGAGGTCTCACTGAGTCAAAATTCGCTTTAAACTCTGTAGCAGTATTTAGGTCTGGCTGTGGCGCTATAGCCATAATTACTCCCCCACTCGAGGAAGAGACATCTCCCGTTATGAAAGCAGATTTCCTAGAATTAATACCATAGTTTACAAGACGGCGATTGACCTGTCGTGACATGCGTCGAGTTGGTCAACGCAAATTCTGCGAGAAAGAGAAATTCACTTTACACCTTTGAACGACGTAGTGTAATGACGCAGTATTTCCTCCAGAACTCGATTCATACGTTCTGCTTGACCATAAGCTTCAAGGTATGCTGCTGTTGACATGGAGAATTTGGTGCCCAATAGCTCAAACAGTGCATGCAGCAAGGCTGCCGTAGCTCTTTCCCTTATAGGAAGCTTATTTATGGTCGGCGACCTTTGTTCTATACTAAGAACCATAAGTGTAGCGGATCGCAATCCGCTTACTTCAAGAGTAAATACAACTATAACCAAGGCTTATGAGCTCTCCGTTAAAATTGTAAGCTATATTTCCGGGTCCTATCTGCGGCAAAGCTGCCTATAGATTTTTCTCCTATCTATGAAGTAAAACCTAATCAAATGTATGACTACTGGCTGTTCCAGCAACGTAATGAATCCTTATTTAATTGTAGCCACCCCATTGTGTGGTAACGACAAAGTGTGTAATTTAAACCATTTTGTGTGAATCACACCATTTTTGATCACACCATCTTATGTGACCCCATTACACGCTCCCCAAAAGATTGTGAACATCTACAATTCACATTCAACTATCGCCTCGAACGAGGCTCGCGTGTCTAAGACACTACAACATCCTCAGAACCTTCTGCACGTATTCTCTGCTCAATGAACCCTGCGTCGAAGTTCCAGCCTCGCTGGTTCAAAAAACGGTCGCGAGCAGAGCCCTTCGTCTCCTGCACGCGGTGCAACTTCGGACAGCGCACCTCGCCCGCCATGGGCGATGAATTACATCGTCGACGATTTGGAGGAAGTCGACTAAGAGTTATATACTCCTTACCCACGATAGGAAGAAAAAAAGGGCGAGATACCTCAGCGGCGCGACGTGAGCCCTGATCGAACCTTGCGGACGCTGTATCCGTTCCTCGAACTCTCGACTTCCGGAGGAGGTGGCATCATTACCAATCACCTCGACGAGGCACAGAAGGAGCAGCTGGATTGGGCCCGCAGGGCGGCTCGCATTCACCCGGATTCACAGGTAGTCCTTGACCCTCGTGTGGAATACGGTTTCCGCTCGGCGGATCTCGCTGCAGAAGCGAGGGGCGCGATCACTCGACCGTTGGGCATATGGCCACTACACAAGAAGAGCTTGACCAACGAAAATCTCTCCGAGGTCGCTTCTTGGTATCTCCAGAAACCCCAATGGATAGTTTCCGCGTTACTCGCAATGCGGACGGTTCCTGTGGTGCTCGCCCCTGGCAAACCGCTGTAGATGACGAAGAGCTCTTCGAACGATGGGTGCAGCGACACCGGAAAACTTCCTCGCTGCGCAACTAATAGTTGAGCCACAGAAAGGTGGACGCGCGTTTGGAGCCCATATCTTTGGTTTGTGTTTGTCAAACTTGAGGCGCGTCGCCGACTTTCTTCGGTTGTCGCCCTGCGTCTTATGGATTGATTCTCACGCTCACTATCTCTGGTCTCTCACACGGATGAGTCCCCGACCACAGCAGCTCGAGGCCATAGATTGAGCTCAGCTAATGGTCCTTCGGCTCCGTGTCATGATCCCTTTGATAATAAGCGTCCACGACGTCTGAGCAGTGGAGCTTCAAAATCTCACGAACACTCGGAGTTTGGGTATCCCCTCCACTTCACAATATATTGGGTTTGACCCTGCCGACGACGTCGACCCACGAGACGTTCTACGTGATAGTGGACACCACCGTTCTTGTTGAGAAGAGTCGTCGGCGGACGATAACGACTTGGTCGATCGCCGTCCGGTGTCTCGCAATGCTCTTCGAGCTCTTGAGGACAAGGTCCGTCGCGATCGGGACCCTCCTGTGCGTCATGCTGGGATCGCATACTGCCGCGCGGAAGACCTCGAGAGCTTGGAGCACGTTGTACAACGGCTGCCTCACGTTGAGGACTATCGCGCTCTGTCGAAGCGGTTCCTAGCCTTTGAGCAGACGGATGCGTCGCTTCATGCGACAGTGATGCGCTTGGCGCTGCTGGAGATAGAGATCGTTGCACTCCGTGCTCAAATGTAGTTGCTAGTTTAACTTCTGGATGGTCGAACGCCTGTGAGCGCCGCTCCGGCGCCAACGCTTCCGCGTTCACTTGGGCCATATCCCAGTACAGCTTAAGCCGTACTGGGATATGCGCACCCACCCGATGTTTAGCCCACATAAACATCGGGTGGGTGCGCATTCGTCTCGAAAGGTTAAGCGTATGCGCGAGGCATCGCTTGGCAACAACCTTGAATTGTCCGATAAATTGTGGACGGAGCTTCATCTTATAGACAGCATAAATTGCATATGTAGAAATGTTTCTAGCCTTTGATGAACCAGATCTCCGATCTCAAAGTGTTTCAAATTTCTTTGCAATTTTGTCTCCAAATTCTTTCTACATGTCTTGACTTTCAGCCATCGCATCGCGAACGCGTCGTAAGGCACTCGGGTAGGAAGACAAGAAGTCATTAACTTCTTTTCTGAACAGTGAGGGGGCTGACATCAGCTAGCCGTTCGGCTTTACCTCCCTTACCAAGCCCTGAGCAATAGGATGGCGGCGTCGGCGGGAAGCGAGAATTAAGAAGCCCAATCACTAGTGTAGCTGGTAGATGAATGCACTGTATTGTTCAGAGCAAATTCTACGAGTGGCAGCATGGCGCTCCAGCGCCTCGGAGTCTCAGCGTAGACGGTGCAAAGGACGTCCTCGTCGATGCATTTCAAGCGCTCAGTTTGACCACTGGTCCGCGGATGGTCCACTGTTGATATATCCAGCTTGGTGCCCAGCACTTTGAAGATCTTCAACCAAAACTTCTCAGTTTAGCGTGGGTCTTTGTCAGAGCAGTTGACTCCAGGCTTATGTTGTTGAAAGTCACGATCCACAAACAGCGTCACTGTACCGACACAGCCGATGGTGTCCGGCACCGCAGAAAGATGAGCCATTTTGCTCAATCAGTCAACGAAGACCACGACACCCGTGTTGCCTGCAATGTCCTTCGGCAGACCAAATACAAAGTCCATACTTATGGAATGTGGCAACACCCTGAGGGTACCGGCAAACTGGACAGCGGCACCGCCGTTTTTGGAGAGAGTTCACCCTTTGAGGCGTCATACACGTGCGCACATATGTGCTCGTCCATTTATACAGCTTGGGTCACCAGTACTGGCAACTCACGAAGCTGTAGATCTTCTCACGACCGTCAAAGAAGATACGGTACCTCAAATTCTCATCGTGAGGAGCCACAATTCGTGGCGTATCCGTCGAGTCGGTGCTATAATACAGCAACCCATTATTCAGCAATTTTCGGTGCAGCCGTCCGCGCAGTCGCGACGACAATTTCTTGCTCGAGTTTCAAAACTCCTTGCTTCCGAAGGCCCGTAGCAGTGCTACGCACATATCATCACCCGCGTATGCGGCGCGGATCAAATCTGTCACTGACAACGTCACCATCGTGACATGAGCAAGCTTATAATCCGGTCTGCGTGACAACGCATCAGTCAAAGCAATCTACTTTCATGGCTTATATTTTTACTCGAAGTTACATTTGGCGAGGAAGGAGAGCCACCTGGCCATTTTTGCAGGAGGTGAGGCGACTGAGTCGCAGTGCGTAATGACGCATGATCTGTGTAGATTATAAACGGCTTTGAGCCCAGCAGGTGCACTCTGAACTTGACAAGTGTATACTTCATCGCTGTTTATCCCTTGTCGTGGACTGGGTAGTTCTACCCCGTAGCCTTAACCTGACGAGATTCGAATGCGATCACCAGATCTCACCCCTCGGCGTCTGCTTGCAGCAGTGCACAGCCGATGGCAAAACCCGAAGCGTCACAGACGACGCTGAAAGAACGATCGGGATCTGGAAGCACCAGTATTGGTGCATGCAGGAGGCTGTCTTTGACCCCGTCAAAAGCCTCCTGATGTTC